TATGAAGTTTGCCAGGCCAGCCAAGTGCCAGGAAAACAGCTGTTTAAGGCTCTTCTTGGTACTTGGGGAGTTTTAAAATGCCTTCACTTAATCTATAAGCAGTTACATGCCACTATGTATCTACAGTGGGAACATGGTAAAGACAGTGGGTAGGAATTAAAGTGTGTTAAGAAACAGACTTCAGATGAAAACATTTTCAAATCAAAGGTCAAATGCTTTGGACTCCGCAAATCTGGCACCTGTAGTGAGTGGTTTAGGACAGCCTCACACACATTTCATAGGGTAGAACAATTCTGTTATTTATTTTTCTAAAATACTTCAAAAGAAAATTAAAAAGAACATGAGAGAGTCTTTGCTTTTGCTTGTATTTAAAGCCATTGCAGCACGCTGAATGTCCTGGAGACTGGAGGACTTGGAATGCTGTAAAATGAATGTTGGTTTTCAGCCTGGACACTAGCTGTTTTGTTTTGCAAGAAAGGCATTTTAGGAACTCACAGGAAAGAAAAAAAAAAAAAAAAAAAAACAGATCAGTTGGCTCTATGGAAAAATTTGTCGTAATCACCCAAGGCAAAAGGTCACAAAACCCATTCATCAGTTTGGGTTTTGTTGCTTAGTCAGAGCCCAACTGTGCAGAACTGACAATATCTTTTCTCTGTGGCTTATGAGGCCTGCGTACAGTGAATCTCAGATTTGCAAAGCAGGAGGACTAACATCACAGATATAAAATGGCTTGCCTGACAACTACCAAAGAATTGGTTAGCACCCACAAAACTGTGTACTAGTTGATTCTCAGATTAAACAAACCAACTCACAACCAGCTTAGCTACAGGTTTTAGTAGCAGACAGGACAGTAAGCAGAGTAGTAAATAGTATATAAACAAGATTTTTGGCATCATGAATAAAAACAATCAGTTCTTTTGCTTCAACCACATTCCAGTCAAGACTGTGGCTTTATATGTCAGCCTTCAAGTTGATTAATTCAGTTCTACTTGTTAGCGCAATTCTGCAGAGGTGAGCAGGACTTAGCATCAAGAAAGCAAGAGATTCATACTGCATTGCATCAAAACCCAGGAATGCAGAGCAATGCTGGGCAACTTACTTCTGATGCTCCCCACACACTATCTTGCTGCTACTTACCTTTCAACCTGTAAAATTCAGATGAAAAGGGTTTAAGTGCAATATATTAAGATTCAAGACAAGAAAACGTTATAAACCTTAGATAATTAACTGCTCTCATTTATAAAAGAGCCTGCCTTGGATTTATCACCTATAATCACTAAAAAAGTCTAAGATTTTTCCCTCTTATTTTAGGATATCAAGATAATTTTAAGCAGTTTTTTTTTCTTTTTTTTTGAAATAGGCTCAGACAAAAAAAAAAAAATTAGCAAACACTGCAACACTACACATAACACATACAGAACATTGTTTCATGTGTGTGTTTTGGTTTCAAGACAGGGTTTTTCTGTGTAGCCCAGGCTGTCCTGGAACTAAGAGATACCTGCCCCTGCCTCCCAAATTCTGGGATTAAAGTTGTGCACCACCACACCCGGCCAGAGTGCTGGTTTTAAAGAAACTGTGACCACCTGGGGTGCGGCAGCACTTGTGGGAAGACTTTGTATTAAAAATAAATGAATAAATAAATTGTAATGAATATATAAAAAATTAAAAAATAACCAAAAAAATCTAAATACTTAAAAAAAAAAAAAAGAAAGAAACTGTGAGTTCCATTTCATCAGAGATTATGGTAGAGCTAAGACAACAAGACAACGGGAAAGCAGACAACCCCAGCTTACAGCACTTGTCAAACTGGAAAATACTATTTATACTACATGTTTTCAGGTAATTTTTCTAAATATCTAAAGTAACTTTTCCCCTTGGTTCTTAGGAACCAAGCAGCCATCAATTAAAAATCAGCAAACATTACATGCAAACACCAGGATGGCAGTAAGAAATTAATATATTCATGCCTTAAAGAGAAACAGAAAGGTAGAAAACAGTAGGCTTTGGAAATCTTAGAGTAAACACACCAACACTTCTGATCATGTATCCAGAAATCCCACCAACTGTCACCAACCTTTCTACTTAACAGAAAGGTCATGCAGGCAGGGCTTCCCGTTCTTTGGGTCATTCAACCTCTTGGACACCAATGTGTCTTCACTGCAAGCCAGGCAAAAGAACCAAAAGGCAACACATTTTGTGCATGCTGGTCAAATACCTGAACTCTGCGTTTACGAAACGATGACAACATGATGGAGGAATGTGGAGTCTAAAGAGGGAGGGGAAGAGCAAGATAACACACTTCTAAAGGCAACTGGGATAGAATCACTTCAAAGTGAAGAGAATAGATCTGTGAAGACACATGAAAACAGGCAAAAATCAAATAGCAAAGATTTCCCCAGTGTCTGGACCCCACCAGGAATCTGATTATGTAATTAGGGAAGCAAAGCTCCTATGTCTTGACAATTACCATCTCCTAAATGTGCTGCTGTGACCATTTCACACACTCTTCTCAGGCGCTTGCCCAAGTATTGCTTTCTAATGGTGAATGTGCCTCCTCCCATCCACATTCTGATAAAATAGGAATCTTGGGGCTTTTAGGAATTTGCAGTGTAAAAGCAGGTAAAAGGATGATTTCATGAAGGCCTAAGTAAGGAACTGAACTTGGGGCTAGTTTGATGGTGCAGTTCCTTTACAAAATACTATTATTTCCTACTCAAAACAAGTAAAAGCAGCATATGTAAGAGATGGGAAAGGTCCTGGTTCACTGCACAGCTGTCCTAGTCAGATGGATCCAAGTGGTCAGCTATGCGGAACTCTGCATTCCTGGAGTCAGCATTTGCCACGAGATCACTGCATTCCCCTGCAAGGCCACAGCTGATGAGCTGCAGCAAACCTAGCTGCAGACAGTTGAGCTCTCAATGGGCAGGGAGGACTGCCAAAGGCAGGCTGCCCTCAGACCCTCTGTCCTTAGTGCATATTTCACAGACAGGATTGGGGGGTGGGGAGCTATTCCGAACAGCCATTTCTCAATATCCGCAGAGGCCCCACCCTTTGAGGTGAAAGCAGAGAAGGAAAATAATAGAAAATTCTAATCCAGGGAACTAAAATATATACTTAATAGGCTCTGTCACTTAAACCTCTTCATTAGATTACCTGACATCAAATTTCTCTAATTATTAGATTACTGCAAAGCATACAGCCAAGGCCAAATGCACTACCAGAGAATAGCTGGCTGCAACAGCTCCTGCCTGACACAGGCCCAGCAATTTGGGAAACTGAGGGTGGAACATTAAGCTTGAGCCCAGGAGTTTGAGACATACAGCAAGGCCGCTTCTCTTCAATAAGAGGGATAAAAGCCCAAGGCTGGGTGGCAACCAGGCTTGCTGGCAAGAGCATAATGAGTTCAAGACCAGCTACACCCGAGTACAGAGTTTCAGAAAGAGCTACATATCAAGATCTTGTCTCACAAAATAGGGAATGGGATTGCAGATATGAACTAAGTCACCAGGCCTTGGGTTTACCATAAGAACTGTCTCACATCTGTCTAGTTCAGGGTAAACCTTGCATTCCAATCTATCTAGGTCCCTAGATAACAGTCAACATACTTTGAGGGTCCCTTTGAGGAATTAATGGCCCAGTTACTAAAAAAGGCTTACTGTTAATTTTCTGCAGAGGACCTTACTCCCCCCCCCCCCCCCCCCACACTGCAGCACTTTTTTTTTTTCGGCTTTGACTTCAATTTGACCTTTAAAATGTAAGACATTTAGTATGAGTGGGAATCTTGGCTCAATGGCTTCATGCAATGCACTGTTGTTGGTGCTATTCTTAAACTCTTGTTTCCTGGCTCCAAGACACCCCCACCCTGCCATCTTTGATACATTCTGTTTTACTTACGTCCAATTGCTATGACAACGCAATTTCTTAACACATTATGAAAATACTTCATATGGTTGGTCTCTCTTGTACTCCTTGACAGCCATGATAATTAGCTTTTCGAAAATAACAACGGAAAGAACAAATGACTTAAAATATTCTGGGTCTCTAAATTTAAAAAACCTGATTATTTGGGAGGCTGAGGCAGGAAAATCCTGAATTTCAGACAGGCCTGGGCTATTCAGTAAATTCCAGGCCAGCCTGGGTTACACAGTAGGAGTCTGTATAGAGAGACCGAGAAATAAAAAAGACCCTGTAAAGTGTAATAGCTCGAAATTATCTCACCCCAGCTTTCCAGGCTATTCATTTAAAAACCCATCGAACCTTACTTACACAGAAGTCCCCCTTGTTATATATATATATATATATATATACACACACACACACACATATATATGTAATTCCAGTACCTGAGAGGCTTTTAAAATCAATTTTTTTTGTTAAGAAGCTAGCTTCAGACAGAAGATTGCTCTAACACCCCACACTGGCACGGTGGTAGTATCTGATAAATATATATATAAAACAAAACAAAAAAACAGTCTCACATAGAAAGAGGTGTAAGCTATTAAGTTATTTATTGGATTTGGATCTCCTACCAAGCAGCGCTGCATCTAACTATTATACAGGAGCCAAGTCAGCCCTGAAGAGAAAAGACATTTATTACCAGGAAAGAAAAAGGAGACCTCTCTGGGGGCCCGGGACCGCCGTACAGGATGAAATTAAGGTCAGCGAGCCCTTCACTGCAGATGCTAGCTCGTCCTCTTCAGGAGGTGCGGGCGAAGGGCGGTGCGGGGGCGCTCGCGGGTGGGTGCTGCCGAGGACCACCCCTCACCACCTGCCGCGACGGGTGGGGCCGCGGCATAGGGAGGGGCCCCCGCGCGGCCTCCCCCCGCCCGTGACATTCCGGGTCGCCGCCCGGCTCCGCAGCGCCCCGCAGCCCACGCGCCACAAAGGCGGCGGCAGCGGCCCACGGACCCGCCCGGGAGGCCCCGCGGCTCACCTGTCCGCACAGCTCCGGCGTTCGGCCGCCCGCGGCCCTTCCCTTCCCGCCCGCCGCCCTTTCTTACCGGCTCCCGGGGGTGAGGGGCGTGGGTCGCCGCGCTGAGGGCTGCTGAGGAAAAAGATGCGCCGCCGCGGCTCCTGCCTCACGCCGTTCGCTCCGCAGCGGATAGTGACGGTGGCGCGCGCACACCGGGGTTTTATAGGCGACCGCGCGCGCTCCCGCGGCGGCCGAGGGCGAGCGTGGGAGAAGTGCACGGCTCGACGACGCGAGGGGCGGGACTCGCCGCTCCACTACCCTACGGAAAGAACCGAGCGCGTCCGGAAGGAGCCGAGGCAGGGTGCGGGCTGGTGGGGGTGGAGGCAAACGACGGGAGGGCGACAGAGGAAGGGGAGCTTGGGGGCGCGCGCGCGAGGGGTGCGGAGCGCGGCGCAGAGGAGTCGCCGCATCCGCCTGCCCCGGCTTGGGTCCTGTGCAATCCTGCCCCGCCCAGTCCGCCCTGCAGAGAATCTGCGCCGCACCCCTCCGGCCCTGGGAGCCCTTCCGGGACTGCGGCGAAGGGCAGGGCGGGGCCCAGCGCCGCAGTCAGGCTGGGGATGCTGTTGCCCCCGCCGGAAAGACGCCCTGTCCTTTTCGGGTGATCTCACCGGAATGTTGGCTTGCTTTCCCTACTTTCTCAGGAGGCGGCTTGGCGCCGAGAGACCCAAGTCTGCTTGTTCTGGTGGGGGCTGGGGCCAAGAAAATCAGATGATTTTGGGACTCCGTGTTTGAGGAGGTGGTAGGAAAAAACCCAAAAAACAAATCCCGATTAGGAAAAAAAAAGAAAGACTGATTTGTGGCATAAGGCTTTTATTTCAGGATTTGTAGAATTATTTAGCAGTCTTTCTTCCTGTTTCCAGTAGAATAGGGTGTATTCATTCTAGTTGATAAACGACAGGATTTCTTTCCCTGGTATTAATTGAACCTTGCTGTGTAGCTGACTCTTGTCTGTGCTACCTCTTTGGACTTTGAATCTCTGCACTGATTTTACAAAGTAGATGTCGCTTTCCCCATTTTACAAATGAACACCCTGATGACATAAGAGGCTTCTCCGGATCAGGCATGAAGCAATCAGAAAAACTAAGATTTGAACACAGGCAGTTAGGCAGGAGGGTGCTAGACTTTTGAGAAGAGGAAAACAACATTTCTGTATTTCTGTCCTATATACAACCAGCCCCCATTTAGGGCCTGTCTCCAAACTCTGTTGCCAGGCTCCCCTCCTGCAATAGCTTTTCCCTTCCTCCATTTCGGTGACAGCTGTGTGGCAACCATTGGAGCAGCACCCAGCTCATTCCTGTGTAGTCAGGTCGACTGGGAATTCTGCAGCTCCCCCAGGCATTAGCCTCCTAGTTACCAAGCTGAACCTCCTATTTAAATAATTATAAAGACACTGGGCATTGCTCCAGAACTGGGGTGAGGCCCAGTCTTGAGCTTCCTGGTCCTCTGCAGTTCGGTTTCTCCTGAGCTAGGATCTGCAGTGTGACTCCTAGGCTGCCCTGGCTGTAGACATGATAGTGAAGGAAGATTCCTAGTCCTTTTTCTTGGAGTGAAGAGACAAAAAGAGGGGCCACACCCCAGAAGCCGCTTCACAGAATCTTGAGGAAAAGATTCTAAGAGGAATTTCCTGCAATCTTTACAGAGAAAACTGGCTGGGAAGCTGCTTCCTGGACTGTGCTTTTTTTGTTTGTTTTTCTTTCTTTATTTTCCAGATGTGGTTTCTTGTATCCCTGGCTGTCCTGGAACTTGCTCTGTAGACCAGACTGGCCTCAAACTCAAAGATCGTTAAAAATATGTACCATCACAACAGGCTCTGGACCCTGCATTTCTGAAAACAGCTGATGGTGACTATAGTAACCACCTCTTCAACCAGTATCAGCAAATTTTAAAATCAGATATTTGGCCTTGGTTACAAAATGGCTAGTACAATTTCTAAGACGTTATGCTTCAGTGGCAAACCATAGGTCTCAGGGATATAGGTATTTAATCTCCCAGGCCTCATACTGAAATAGGAGTTCTACTCTTTCTACCAAATGCCAAACAAATTGGAGACCTATAGAGAGCTCACTTTTGATTTGGAAACTAAAATCCTGCTTGTTGATCCTTTTTCTGATCAAAATGGCCAGGATAACAGTGTCCTTGGGCTCCCACTCACCCACCCACCCTGCTCTCATCTGGCACGAAAATGAGCCATCAAAAAGGCATTTCCATGGTTTCTATTGTTGCTCCCCTTCCTCCCACCAATTTCAGCACATGCCTCACACTCTATTAGGCGTGGGGACAGAGAGAGGATGTTGCAGATAATAGCCTTGTTTTTATAACAGAACTTCAGACGGAAGAAATAAAGCAAGCACAGCACACTGTGACAGCTTGGTTCGGCTCCATGTTCTTGGCCACACCTCTTCTGGCCTCCTTACAGCAGTGAATCCAAGTGAATTCTAAGGTTCTGGTTTCTGCAGCCCCTAGACTTGAACGCTAGGCAGCCCTGATCCCTTGTTCAAAAGGTCAGTTGTTGGCTGGGAAATATGCTAATTGTTAGGTTTCCACCCATCAACAGCCATGGAAAGTCAAGTCTACTAGGTTCTCTACCCCTATCCTGCACCCTCGGCAAAGTGCAAGTATTTTTTTTTTTCTCCCTGTAATGAGAGAGGCTGACTCTAAATTGGGCGTGGTGGTACAGGCCTGTAATCCCAGCACTCAGGGAGGCAGAGGCCAGCCTGGTCTACAAACCCAGGCCAAGCCAGGCCAGCCAAGGCTACACAGTAACCCTATCTCAAATCCCTGTACCCCAAAAAATAAGAGAAAGGGAGAGAGAGGCAGAGAGAGGCTGAATGGAAAAAGTCCTGCTGACAAAATGGACTGTACCTTTCCCCAGACGACATTCTTCAGGAGCAGAGCTGGCAAGCCAGTCACACAAGTCTTCCAAACATAGTGACTGTGTAAATCTTGAGGGCATTGTGCTAAGTGAAACAAGCCAGACACACAGAAAGACCAGTATTGGATGATTCTGCTTACCTTGCAACCCTGTAACTGTCAAGTCTGAGAGATAATGTAGAGAACTGGTAGCCAGGCACTGAGGGGAGACAGGAATGGGGCAGGGGTGGGAGGGAAGGCCATTGTTTCATAGGACCAGTTTCCACCTAGGATGAGAACATTCTGGCGATCTGGGCTAGGCACTTGTGAACATATTCTACCAGCTAAGCTGTATCTTTAAGCATTTATTATATCTCTTCATTGTGCTCTTCATGTATGAAGATCAAAGGACAACTTGTTGCAGTTGATTCTCCTTCTACCATGTGAATCCCGGGTATCAAACTCAGGTCATCAGGCTTGGTAGCATTTACCTTTAACTGCAGAGCCATACTGGGATTATGGCATCTGATTATTTTTTTCTTGTTTAAGATAGGGTCTCATGCTATGTCCTAGTCTATCCTTGAGCTCATGGCAATCTTCCTGCTTTAGCTTCTTGAGTGTTGCAATTGTAGAGGTGGTACCATCATGCCCAAATCTCCTGCTAAGCTTAAACACATTGTTTAAGAATAAGTTTCATAAACCATGCCAAACCTCAAGAAACAATGTTAGTTTTCCATTGCCTAGAGAATAGCCTAATGATTTAAGTAGTCATTTCAGAGCCTTGAAAAGCTTCCATCTGTTTACTGTATCATGGCATTACTTCTTACTGCTTTTTTCCATGTACATGTTTACCTACTTCAAAAGCACAGTCCTGGCTGTGGTGTTGTCAGTTAGTAAGCTATGGGCCTCTCATAGGAGAAGCCGAGGTTCAATCCTCAACATTGCAGATCAATAACAACACTTTGCCTCAGAGCAGTCCAAAATGTACATTTGCTCTTCCAACCTCTTGCTTAAAAAAATTGTTTTATGTGTATGAGTAATTTGCCTGCACTATGTTCATGCCTAGTGCCCTTGGAGGCCAGAAAAGGGCACTGGATCTTCTGAAACTTGAATTATAGACAGTTGTGAACCTCAAGGGTACTAGCAACCAAACCTGGGTCTGCTGTAAAAGCAACAAGAGCTCCTAACTACTGAGTCACCTCTCCAGCCCCTAAATGGCTATTATCTAATAAATGAAGCCTGGCTATAGCTAGGGACTGTCAGTAAGCTCCTTTACAATGGGTGTTTTTGCAAGGGCAACACATTACTGGAAGCCCACAGCCCTTGTCTGCTTTCTGTAGATCCACAGGCAATCCAGTGAATTCATTAAGTGTGGCAGAGGAATGGGAAAATTAGTCATGTGTGACAGAGACATGTGAGCAGCTCTGTGGCTTATGTTGTCCTGTCACTGCAGTTATTTTTTTTTTAAAGATTTATTTATTTAATGTATATGAATGTTCTATCTGCTTGTATACCTGCACACCAGAAGAGGTCATTAGATCCCAGTATAGATGGTTGTGAGCCACCATGTGGTTGCTAGGAATTGAAGTCAGGACCTCTGGAAGAGCAAACAGTGCTCTTAGCCACTGAGCCATCTCTCCAGCCCTGTCACTGAAGTTATTACAGGATTTCTCATGGTGTGTGTGGGTGTGTGTGTGTGTGTGTAAGAGAGAGATCCCAAGGCCAATGGATGTACAAAGGTTGTAACCTACTGGAATTTTGTGCTGGAATTTTTAGCACATTACCAAATCTGCACTAAGATGATATAGGACAATGAATGACATGGCAAAAATTTGGGAACTCAGCCCAAAAAATGAGGTCAAGATGCAATGGAAGCAAGCAGATGAGCGAGCACTTGAGCCAAAAAGAGAATGTGGCTTGTAGCATTCTGTGGCAAAGAATCTGATGCACCTGTGTGGAGCCACATCCTCAGCTGTGCTCCTGGCTTCTGAAGCTACACTATCAGTGAGTATCAGAAACCCAAACCTCCAGAGATCTTCTGTGTTATGTTTGAGACGCCATTAGGATAACCAGCATCGAATGACAAATGCCAAGACTGCTAATCACATCCAAAGGAAGAATATTAAATTGCTATATAATGTATTCTCAGGATGGTGAGATGGCTCAGCTGGTAAAGGAGCTTGCCGTGCAGGCCTCACAGCTGGAGTTGGATCCCCACAACCCAAGTAAAAGTAAGTAGGAAAAGAGAACTGACTTCACAAAGTTGTCTGCTGACCTTCAAATGCATGCTGTGTTATACACAAGAACACATAAGTTTGTCGAATTTTGAGACAGGGTTTCTCTGTGTAATAGCCCTGGCTCTCCTGGACTTGAGTTGTAGACCAGGCTGGCCTCGAACTCACAGAGATCCTCTGCCTCCCGGGCAGAGGTATGTGCTACTATGGCCAGCTATAAGGTTTGTTTAAGGTCATTTTTACCGGGTGGTGAAGATAAACGGGATAGAGAGATGGCTCAGTAGAGCCTGAATTGGCTTCCCAGCACTCACACGGTGACTCACACACTACCCGTTACTTCAGTTCCAGGGGAGCTGATGCCCTCCTCTGACTTCCTTGGGTAACGAACATGTAGCACACAGGCATGCACACATGCAAAGAACTCATGCATATAAAATAAAATTTCTAAGGCAGCCTAAGCTACATGAGTCCAGGGATTCATGCACACTGGGCAGACAATCTACTACTAAACCCACTGCTGGATCTCAGTGATTTTCCACATTTCCCTTTTCCTTTTTTTTCTTCTCTCTCTCTCTTGCCATTTAAGAGATGTAATGGTGAGATTAAGCAGCTGTGGTGGCACATGCGCTCAGTCCTAGCACTCGGTAGGAAGCTGTGGCATTAAGCCTGTAATCCCAGCCTAAGGCAGTTGAGGCATGAGGATCAGAAGAGTTCAAGACTATCCTTGACCACATGAAAAGAAGCTTGAGGCCAGCCTGGACTATGAGACTCCGGTGAGATAAACAGAGACAGATGCAGAGAGTGCCTTATTGTGTAGTCCAGGCCACTCCAACTCCTGGTAATCCTTTTCAGCATCCCAAGCAGACTGGACTATAGGTGCATGTTAACACACCTAACTTCACATTTTTTGAGACAGAATCTTACTGTGTAGCCCAGGTTGGCCTAGTACTTGCTGTGTTGACCTTGGTATCTCTGTCTCAATCCTCCGCTCTCAGCTGCTTCAGTGCTGCATGTATCACCACACCCAGCTTCTTATATATGGACTTATTCTTCACATATAAACCTAGCAAAAATGCTGTGGCAGAGTGAAGAGCCAGAACTCCACAGTCTTGCTTAGTGGTTATGTAAAATGTGAGCTGCGTGGCTTGAGTGGGCACCATTCATTCAGCACCAAGTTTTTATGAACAGGCTAATTTTCCAGCAGAGGGTAGTAGTATCTAGAAGAAATGTCCTTTTGACATTCATTTGCTGACTGAGGAAGGCTTGAGCTCATCTACTTTTTTTATCCTGAAGTTGGTACATCCCACCCTGTTCCCTGCCATGATCTGTAGAAAACAGATGCTATTTGCAAGGCTTGAGTTGACAGGAAGAGCAAGTGGCAGGAGGCTATGAGGATGCCATTCATTGTAGGCCCTGCCAGGTAGCCCTGCAAGTGAGGGAGACAAATTCCAGGACATACAAGGTGAAACTCCAACCCAGAGGCTGCTGCCAAGCACAGCATGAAGGCTGCAGTGACAACTCCTTTTTCCTTTGTTCTATAAGTAGGGATGTAAGGTTCAGAGAGGTGAGACATACCTAGATCACAAAAAAAAAAAAAACAAAAATAAAAAATGGAGTCCAGTCTCATGACACAAGCGAACCTGCTTTTTTGTAACATTTCTGACTTAAATATTCTCACTCTTCTTCCTGTGGAGGGACATTTTAGCTGGAGCCCAAGGTCTTCTGCATTCTAAGTAAGTGCTATAGCCTCAACTCCCCACACTCTTGTTAGATGAAAGCCAGTTACTGGAATGCCATTTTAAAAAAAGGAATCCTACAAAACCAGTTTTTTCCCAAGATGAAGGTCAAGAGGATAAAGAGGAAGAACACATATTCCGTATCTAGACCTGTACAGTTACGTCCATATGATTTCTACTCGGCTCATTCAAATAATATTAAGGTAACCATATACTAGCACAGGATTTTTAAAAATTCAAGCTTTATTACTTTTTTTGGGCACTGTAGTCAACAATGAAAATGCTTAGTCCATTCAAGTGTACCAGTGAGAATATGAGCCACAGAAGGCCCTTTGCATCCAGGACTAGATCTGCAACACTGCCTCTGCAGTACAAAAAGAGTCAGTCTGTTCGCAAAACAAATACCAGCTTCCAGCTGAGACAGTCAGCTCCTCCTACAGACCAATGCATTCACTGCTGATGATCTTCAGCTTACACCTAATGCTGCAAGCCATATGTCACCCCATTTCAATTTTTGTCAGAAAAACAACAAAAAGGAACCTCATCTAATACAGCATCCCTAGCCACCCCAGAACCAAATTCCAAATAAAAAAGACAGAGTACTCTAGAGTTGCATGTGTCCAGTCCTGATCACATGCCCACTACCTTGATGCACTCTGGGGTTCAGTCCATACCAACATCATACATGTCCTCTGAATAAACAAATACTTTACTAGCCATAAAGTGTAACATACTTTACCTCACACCCAGACTGCACAGATTAGCTTCAAACATTGCATGATACCTTAAAGGGAGTCTTAAGAGATTTACTTTCTAGCTATGTGTGAACAGGATTGGGGCAGAGAATGGAAGTGAAAATGGTGGGCTCACTCCAGGTCAGAATGAAACAGATAAAGCATCACCAATTACCTGAAAGATACTAGAGACAATGGGTACAGCCAAGTGCTCAGTGCCTCTTGTAAAAATTAGAAAGGCCAGTTCTGTTGCTGTCTGTGACACATACAGAAACTACCAATCTGACAAGAGACTGACAAAAAGCTATGAACTATGAAAATCTTAATCACATGGTGCAAATATATAAAAACACATTGACAAATTTCTAAATCTGACATGATTTCTTCCAAACCCGCTGTCTAAGTTGCTTTATTGGTGCCCCTCCTGCAACATAATGTGATGACTGCTGATGGAGGGACATCAGGAGCGCCAGAAGGAGGATGTCAGAAAGCCTTTGGGGACAGGAATCTCCCTGCGCTGCAGACATTTCTGGATGTGAAAGATGAAGAAAACAGGGTGAGTTTCTGACAAAATTGCCTCTAGCATTTAACAATGGGAAGACATTGAAGGACAAGGCCTAGAATGGACAAAAGGAAAATGTCTGATGGGTCTGTGGAAGACCGAAGAAGAAAAAAAGAAAAAAAAAAAGAAAAAAGATTTATTAGGCCCACCCACCCGTTTCCCCATAGATGGCCTCATCTGCCACCATCACTATTTTATAGGCTCCTAGAGTCTGGCTGTCAGTGGGCTACTTGATTATGTAATACAGAACTCTAGATGATCGGCTAAAATAAACCTTTTTAAAATGTCTTGGTACTTGGAAATAGAGGAAGAGTCCAACTGAACATGCAATATGGTTTCATGGACTTAGCAGCCACACCCAAAAGCTCCCTACACCCGAGACTGACAGAAGACCCTTGGTTGACAAGGAAAACAAGTCTGTGAGAGATTCTCTACACATACCTTACTGTCTACTATTCTTTGAGGATAGTTACCTGATAGGCAGTGTGGAGAATGGATGTAGGGACAAAATGGCATACTTTGGTCTAAAGGGCAAGGGGAATTAAGAACAACAAGCAGTGTGTGGAAAAATAGAAGACACAGCTATCAGGTCTGGAGGCCCAAGATTACGAGACACAAGTATGTCTCAGGCTACAGTTTAGGGCACGTTGGAATGGAATCTTACCTCCAAGAACTGCTTTAGACGTATGAAAGAACCCATCTGTCCTGAGCTTGTGATGGCTTCAATTCTATAGGGAGAGAGAGAAAGACTTTTGAGTCCTATCTGTGAAACATCTCCATTCTCTGATTAGGTGAGGACTAGATCTTCTGGCTCTTCTAAAGAATGCTGGCTGCTTTCCAAAGGGTCCTCACCATTTCTCCAAAGGGACAAAAGAGAAGGACACACTGCTCTTCCTTGATTCTTGGTGATCAGGTAGGAAAGTGCCTTCTCCCTACTTGAAACTCCAATGAATTTAGAAGAGTACTTCAAAGTCTGCACTAGGCCCTCTGCATATACATGTTATGCTTGTTGGCTAGGGTTTTAAGGGGACTCCTGACAGTGGGACTGAGAGTTCTCGGACTGATTTGCCTGCCCTTGGGTCCATTTTCCATCTACTGGGTTGCCTTGTCGAGTCCTGACTGAAGGTTTTTGCCAGGTCTTATTATATCTTGTTGTACCATGTTTGGTTGATGACCTTGGGAGTCGCTCTTTTCTGGGGGGGAGTCCAGGGAGGCGAGGAGTGGATCTGGAGTAGAGGGGAGGTGGGACTAAGAGGATCGGAGGGAGGGGAAGTTGCGGTTTCGATGTATTGCATGAGAGAAGAATAAGTAAACATAAAAGAAATTAAAAAGGAAGAAAGTTGAGAGAGGAGGTCTGAGGAGCTCTGGGACAGTCTGGACTACAGAGACTCTCACAAAACAAAACAAAGGAACAAGAGAAAACCAAAATTAAAAACTCAGCCAGCCAGGTGTGGTGGGGCACACCTTTAAACTCAGCACTTGGGAGGCAGAGGCAGGCAGATCTCTGTGAGTTTGAGATCAGCCTGGTTTACAAAGTCAGTTCCAGGACAGCCAGGGCCACCCACAGAGAAACCTTGTCTCAAAAACAAAACTCCCTCAAGCCAAGAGAAAAATAATTGTATATATATATATATATATATATATATAGTAGTAGCATTTTAGAATTCATGGTGCCTGACTTCCAGGTGTTACCTCTAACTCCCCAGTGGTATGCTCACAAGCCTATACCTGGGGAAGTAGTCCTCTTTGATGAGAAGTATCACCTTCCAGAATTGGACCTGGTACTGCTTCATAAGGGCATTCCCACACACCTAGAGGGAAGACAGACTCATGAGCAGGGAACAAAAACTCACTCATGAAAGAAGCACACTCACACCTTTGCCTGTTGAAACATCTCAGCCATGGCATCACTTAGCTATCTAAGGAACAGATGAAAATCCTCAACTTTCTATGTGGGGTGGGGTGTTGGAGTTCACTTGTGAGGATGATCTAGTAGGCTTAAGGACCCAAGTCTATCCATGACATTAAAAAAAACTCTAGCCATCAATGATGGTGGTGGTGGCGCACGCCTTTGGTCCCAGCACTAGGGAGGCAGAGGCAGTTGGATCTCTAAGATTGAGGCTAGCCTGGCCTACAGAGAAAGTTCCAATTAAAAAAAAAATTATATACATACACACACACACACACACACACACACACACACACACACACACACACCCCTAAGTCAAATGTAAAGGCTTAACAAACATTTATTTTGCTGTACTGAACTGTCTGAAGGCATGGTACTCCTCTTAGCCTTAGTAAGAATACTGAATGCTGCTTGTCTCAAAGACTCAGGCTCCATATTAATCTACTATCACGTCAGGAATTACAAGGTAATTAGGAATTATTAGAATTATAAGCCCAAGGGCCTCATATTTGTCAGGACATGAACCCTGAGCATTCATTAATTTGAGGCAATGCCTCACTGGGTAGCCCAGGATAGTCTCAAACTTGTGATCCTCTTCCTGAGCCTCCCTTGTGTTGGAATTACCACCATGAAATACCACGCCAGTTCCCTTAAGCTTACTTCAGAATCAGCCCCTTCAGCTGCAGGTGGAGGTGCATGCCTTTGATCCTATTACTCAGGAGGCAAAGGCAAGTGGATCTCTTAGTTCCAAGCAAGCCTGGTAAGTTCCAGGCCAAGCTGGGCACAGTGGTACATGCCTATAATCCTGGCACTCACAGTGCACAAAACGAGGAGCTTACAAAGCATGAACATTTATGGAAAACTAGACCCAGGGACTGTGTTGGTACCTGGTGATCTAGTTCCTGTTTCCAGGGTCTCAGGAGACTGGCCTGCATAGTCTACCGTGGTTCCACTATATCCCTAAAATGAATTGTGCTTTTTACTTAGGCTAGGGTATATATAACTGTAGAGGGCAAAAAGTACTTGTGCACACAGAGACGCACTGGAGAAGCCAAGAAAGTTAAACTAGCAGGCACTCTTCAAAGACAAGGGATATTTAACCTGTCCTCCTCCTGGAATGCCAGGAATACATGTACTTTACAAGCTGGTGATCACTGGCTCTCTGATGAGCCAGGCTCTGCCCATATCTTCCAGAATTTATGTTTTACTTATCCCAGGCCCTTTCCCCCTAAACTTTGAGTGTTTGAGGCCATAAAACTCATCCTTGTGAGAGATGTCATTTGCACTTTACAGCAGTCTAAGTGACTTTCATGTTACCTCAGGGCCAGGAAAATCCTGATTCCCACAGGGATTATGTTTACCTGTCATTTCTCCCCAGACCCTTATCTTAAGGATTGTTTCTAAGTCAAGAAGAACCCATTGTGTGGATGAAGCCATATGTATTTGTAAAGAGCGTCAGTGCAAAATATCTTAAACTTTGTTGTATTCACAGGGCTGTGTTAATTGTTATCTGAAAATTTTTTCCCAAACCAGTGCTATGCTTAAACATGGCAAAAATATACCAGCTGATATCAGACTCTTGAAGTCCTGGCCCACCACCTGTTACCTAAATTGTGCTGAACCAAGTCTCATTCTTCCCTCAACTGGATTGTTTCCCTTGCCAGCTGTAAAGCCTGGCCTGTAGGATCCCCACAGACATTAAAAAGAGAAAAAAAAAAAAAAAAAATGGCGCATCCTAGCCTAACTCAAAGAGAAGTCAAGAATCATGAAAGAAAAAGCTGAAGCTACGTTTGTCCTATGGCTTAGGGAAAGCTAGGTGACAGTAGCTTAATACTGTTCAATACTTGGCTCCACTTCTATGTTGCTTCTCCATTCATTTCACCCAGTGTCCTGAGACCACCTCAACCACTGGCTTTCTCTCATTTGGTAACAGAATTACCTCCAAGAAGTCGAACAGGAGAGTGGCTGTCACGTCTGACAGAGGCTCCATGTTTAAGATCTGTGCCAACCAGCGCCAGCCATGATTTAAGCCATGAGGATGGGCCTGGAAGGAAAGCAGCTGTGTCATGACTTTATCTCATTTTATTCACATAATAAACTCTCAATGTAATCACTCAGTCACTGAACATGAACCCCGAGATTATCTGGCCCAGGATTATAGGACAGAGCAGAAACAACAAAGGCTGAGGAAATGCTTTTTGGAACTATTCTGTTCTACTCACAGGCTCTCAGACATTCGTTAAAAGGTTCTTGTGAAATATGAAATCATATTCGGGGAATCCATGGCCATTATCATCATTAACATTTTTTGTTTAGAAAGGGTATTAACTTTGGAGCCCAGGCTGACCTCACTTACAGCAATCATTCCTGGCCCACTCTCCCAAGACAGGAGTATGGGGGTAAACCATCTCACCTGACTTTGTTGTTGTTGATTTTGGTTTTGGGGGTTGTTGGGGGAGGGGTAGTTTTGTTTCTGTTTTGAGACAGGGTCTCACTAGCATTGGGTGACCTGAAACTTCTATGTAGACCAACCTAGCCTTGAACTCACTGCCTTTGCTTCCTGAATGCTGGAAATAAAGATGTGTCACTTTGCCTTCCCACACCAGACTTCATGTCTGATTCTGTGATTGAAGTGACAGGGTCTCACTGTGCAGCCCAGTGATCTAAAATCTGCAATCCTTCTGCCACAGCTTCCTGAGTGGGGATTAGAGGACTGCACTTTTAAAAATGTCATGACTTACAGACTCTGTTCTAAGATTAGTTCTTTATGTCTTCAGCTGAGGGAAAAACTGAAGTTTTTTTGTTCATTCAAAAAAAGTTGCCTAAGAATCATCATCTATAGCCAGGCGGTGGGGTGGCACATGCCTTTATTCCCAGCACTGGGGAGGCAGAGGCAGGCGGATAGCTGAGTTCCAGACCAGACTGGTCTACAGAGTGAATTTCAGGACAGCCAGGCCTGCACAGAGAGACCCTGTCTTAAAAAGAAAACAAAAAACAAAAAACAACAACAAAAAAAAAAATCAACATCCACATCTCTAAAACACACCCATAAGTCGTATTTTTTCTCACATCATTGCACAGCACAGCCTCTCTAAAGCTTGAGAGAGTTCTCAAAGGCTGAGTTATAGGCTTGGTCTCCAGCCTGCAGCACTATCTGAAAGTGTGGGGCCTTTAAGACAAGGTAGAGTCCAGTTAGAAGTTGTTAGGCCATTAGGGACATACTCTTGAAGGGATACTGGGACACCCTGCCTCAAAATAAGGCCTTTTTTCACTTGCCAGTTCCCATAAGTAGCTCTGCTCTGCCTATGCATCGGCCACGATGCTCTGCCTCACCATGGCTCCAAAAGAAACTGGACCAAGGGAAAGTAAGAGCTAAATGCTAAAAAAAAAAAAAAAAAAAAAAGCTAAAAGCTCTAACAAATGCTGTAATGCATGCACAGACTCCCATCAAGCAACGTAGAAGTTTCTTCCTTGTAAGCTGTCTTGGTGACAGAGCTGACGAACATAAAGGCTGCATTTGCTGTGGATCCTGGACTCCTATTCCTTAGTAATGGCAGGCCTGTTCCACTACCTGCTGCCGGTTTCCATATGGCCACTGGAGCTGGATGATGGCGGCATACAGACGGATCATCCCAGACATTCGTTTTAGGAAGTTGTCCTGTTGTTCCACCTTAGAATCCGTCACTTGGTAGCCAAGCATTCTATGTGTGAAGATAAGATTAAGAACAACACCACCAAAATGAGGGTGACAAAGAGGTTTCCTTCTATGGCTAAAAGTACTACTAGTTACACTTTGCATTATTATTACTTATTATTATTATATCTACACAAAGCACTGGTACCCACGATCAAATATCTGAATATAAGACAACTGGAGCTGGGCGCAATGGCACACACCTGTAATCCCAGCACCTGGAGAGGCAGAGGCAGAGCTATCTCTGTGAGTTCGAGGCCAGCCTGGTCTACAAAGTGACCAGGACAGCCAAGGCTACACAGAGAAACCCTGTTCCAAGGGGAGTGGGGAGAGAACTGCTTCAGTAGTTCAGAACACTGGCTATTCATCCAAAGGTCCTGAGTTCAATTCCCAGCAACCTCATGGTGGCTCACAACCATCTATAATGTGATCTGATGCCCTCTTCTGGTGTGCAGGTGTACATGCAAATACAGCACTCATATACATCAAACAAACAAACAAATCTTTAAAGGCAAAAGAAAACTACTTCAGTGCTGGCTACTTTTATGTCAACCTGACACAAGCCAGAGTCACCTGAGAAGAGGAAACATGAATTAAGAAATGCCTCCATAGATAGCTAAAGGCAAGCCTCTAAGGCATTTTCTTAACTCATGATTGACGAGGAAGGGCCCAGGTCCCTGTGGGTGGCGCTGCCCAGGCTGGTAAGCCTGCGTACTGTGAGAAAGCAGGCTGAGTAAGCCAGGAAGGAGCAACCCCTCTGTGGCCTCTGCACCAGCTCCTGCCTCCAGGTTGCTGCCCTCCCTGCTTTCCATGATAGACTGCGCTGTAGAGGCCAGAGTGAAATAAACCCCTTCCTCCTCAAGTCGCTGGTCATGAGGTTCCTCACAGCAACAGTGACCTTGACTATGACAGTGTCTCAATGAGATTTCAATGATTTACCCTATTCTGTAAAGCCGTAAGATGAATAAATTATAAGATTCCTGGATCCCACATCCAGTATTCTTCCCTGTAAGCTATGGTGATTATCAATTATCACCCCCAAATCTACAAATACTAAAATAAGTCCAGTTTGCATGAAAAACATAACAGTTCTTGCTATGTTATGTACCCCAGGCTAACCTGAACCTCACTTGCCTTAACCTCCCAAATGCCGGGATTTCAAGTGTTTAATATGAATCATGGTTCAAGACATTCTGTTTTTGACAGGACATTTAAAGTACAAAGGAAGACCTGAGAGAAAGAGTGAAAACATTCACGTTCTTATGTGCTACAACTCTCCCCAGAGTGAGTGAGAAAGGAGAAACAGTTTCACCGTTGATAGTCCTCCAAAGCCATCCCTTCCTTGAAAGCTGGGTAGAAAGGAACGGAGTATGGACACTTCTTGTGGAGATGAGCAAGGATAAGGTCTCCTACTTTGGGGTGGAGCTTCCAGATACCAGATGCCACCACTGCAATGGGGAATGCTGCTTCATGGTGAGCGGCCACTTCCTCCTCACCTTGTTTCTAGGAGCATAAAGATGGGCACAACTTCAAATTACTATCCCAGCTAGGCTTAACACTGTATACAAGCTTCTTCCACCCACCCTCTACAACGAGGTTTCTCACCACAAATTTCTCTGCCAGTTTGTACTGGACAAAGTCCAGTCCCTGAGGGTTAAGAGTGACAGACACGGAATGCCCACCAGATTGAACAGGCTTTCCAGAGAGCAGGCTATGGATCTTTTCAAAGACCTCCTTCAGCTTGGAACCTGCATAGGAAAGAAAAAGCAATAAAAAGATGAAACTGTAGTTGGATATAGTTGTGCACACCTATACCAAGTCTAGCACTTGGGAGAAGGTGCAGAAAGCTCAGGAACTCAAGGGTAGCCTAGGCCATGTAGTGAGTTTGAGACCAACAGTCTACATGAGACCCTGTCTCAACAATATGCAACATCATGTCAATCTTTTTCAAAATGTAGTGACAAAGCAAAGACTCCACAGAAATCCATTTTATAGAAGTTTAGAATTTAAGTTCAATCACTATTGTTTTAGATATATAATGGAGGGCTGAGGAGATGTCTCAGTGGAGAAAGCGCTCATTGCAAGCATGAACTGTGCTTGGATCCCTAGCACCCACGTAAAATCTGAGTGTGACAGCACAAGCTTGTAAACATAACGTTAGCAGGGTGGAGACAGCCACATGCTGGGGACCCACGGACCAGCCAGTCTAGGAAAAAGGTTAAGCTCTGGGTTCAGTGAGAAACCTTGTCTCACTGTACATGATGGAGCAATTACAAATCCACACTGCTTTTGCGAAGGAGCTGATTTTGATTCCCAGCACCCATGGTGGGGTCTCACAACCCCTAACTCCAGCTCCAGGAGATGTAATGCCTCTGCATTAGAGCCCACTTCACTTACATGCACATACCTACACATAATTCAAAATAAATCTTTAAAAATAAATAAATATGGTTAGGAGATGACTCAGTGGTTATGAGAAGTGGCTACTCTTCCAGAGGACCCAGCACCAACATGATGGCTCAAAACTTGTATAACTCCATTTCCAGGGATCTAATACTCTCTTCTGGCCTCCTGAGTACCAGGCACACACATGGTACACAGACATGCACAGGCAAAACATTCACATACATAAAAATAAAGAAATCTACCTATAAGTGTTTAAATAAATAAGTCCGAGAACTAAAGGAAGATAGCCAATTTTTGGCCTCCACACATGCATGCACAGGTGAGCATATAAGGAGCACACACAAAAAGGACATATATGTGGCGCACACCTTTAATCCCAGCAGAGGCAGGTGGATCTCTGTGAGTTCAAGGCCAGCCTGGTCTACAAAGCAAGTCCAGGACAGCCAATGCTGTACACAGAGAAACCCTGTCTCAAAAAAAAAAAAAAAGCAAGCAAACAAAAAGGACATATAACAGTCAAGCTCATGCTGTGTTATGTGAGGGAATGCAAAGTACACAAGTGACAGCACAACTCTGAAGGAATCACTTTGGGGCTGAAATTGACACATAAGGCAGAGGTGAGAAAAAACTATTAAACAGAATTACAGATCTTGGGGGTGTCTGTCAGTGGCACCTCTAAAAGAACCTTCTAAGGGTCTTCCGTGGTTTGGCTGATGTCTCTTTCCCTGAGGCTGGCATTCCTTCATCTTTAGAGACCCAGAAGTAAATTCCTGGCATGACTTAGACTTTTAATTGTCTGCCAAATGTCCATGCTTATTCATGCTTAGTCCATAGCACTACTCCATACACTACTTTGAAGCTAGAAAATTTCTAAGAGATGGGGCCTAGAATGAGGTCTTCCGATCAGCAGGGACAGATCCTTGAAGAATCCTAAAGGACTCTGTCCCATCTGTTTTTCATTTCCCAGCTGCCAGGTCCGTGGTTTTTGCCCAGTATTCCCCCATGATGACTTGCCAAAAGCAAGATGGTTAAATCACAAACCAAACCCTCTAGAATATAAGCCAAAATAAACCTTATTTTTATAAATGTACTACCTCACAAGTTTGTTACAGTAATGGAACACTGACACCTACATTTACTAATTTGTATGTAGAAGAAAGAACCCATGGACTCCAAACCCCACAACAGCTACAGTAAACCAGCCAATGAAGAGCCAGTTCCTTCAAGTGGTTGTTCCTGCAATAGTGCATACGGGCCTTTGACCTGATGCCTGAACCAAAGACAAGTAATCTATGAAATGGGGATGAAGAAGAACAGGAAAGATGGGAAAGATAATTACAACTTCTCCTTCCCCTAGCTTCATTCCTGCCACTGAGCTCTATAAAATACTGTTGTGAATATTGTTAGAATAAACACTGTCTTTATCTGTGCTTAAGCAGATCTGAATTTGTTTTCATACTAGTACCTACAATTGAAGGTTTAATTAACCAGCATCTCCTGATGAAAAATACTTTGTGAAGTTCCTAATCATCTCAGAAGTGATACTTTTACTAATGACTCAAAAATATCTCTTAAGCCACAGATGCAGTAAGAAACAAAAAATGAATTAAGAAGATATCACAGAATCTACAGGATGAGTAATTTCAGAAAATAAGAACTTATTTGGATATTAAACGTGTCCATATCAATACGTTTCTCCAGTGCATTCCTGTAAGTCATATTCTACCACTATTAGTGACAGCTTCCAAGAGCCCTACAAGCTGACTCTCACAACCAGCCCCTCTCTTTTCCATGCATCATGTGGCTACTATACCCACTCACCCGTGTCCATTTATAAATATTCCCTAAATTCTTCATGTTTATTGGGGGCTTAGTGAAAAGAATGAAATTATTTTTCCTCTGCTCATTTAACCTTACTGAGTGCTAATTGCAGAGCATGCTGGGTCTCAGCAGGCTCACAGCAGAACAGGAAGACACATGCAGATTGCTCCCAGTTCCAGCTTAAGTGCCTGAGCTCTTTCAGACTACTGGCTACTTAAAGGAAACAGGAGGAAAAGAGGCACAGAGAAGATAAACTAGTTAGTTAGGAGGGAGTTGAGACACATCTAGGCAGAGAAGTTCCTAATATGGCTGCCAGAGACCCTGAAGCTTGGAAGAAAGGAATGAACCAGGACAGAATTAGGAGTCAGTGGTATAAAAGTAATGTTTGACACCACAGGGGCTAAAAGGATAAAAACAACTGTGGGGTGACAGCAAGTCTCTAGGAAGCACTACAGTCAAGGCAGGGCCAAGACAGACCTCACAAAGGAAAAGGGAGAGCAGAACCTGAGGTTTTGTCAAAGTCAGGAGTTGTTTTATAGAGAAGCCTACAGTCCACAGGCCAAATGGAAACACTAGCTAAATCAGATATTGATCCGAAGGCAGAAGAGCAAGGGATGCTGGGATATGAACAACTCGGCACATTTAAAGGCTGAGAGAAAGTAACTGCAAAAAGAACCATGCTCAGGAAGCAGAGAGAACGGCAATGAACAAAGCTGCAGGAGACAGAAAGGATGGAAACAAAGGTAGACTTAGAAGAGTTGACTAGGGCAAGACCCTCAGTTTCTAAAATAGACTGACTGTATATGCTGCTTCTGTTTCCTGGCTTCAGCTGCAGAGACTGTGTAGTGCCTGAGGGTAAGGAACAAAGATAAGCAGGAGAGAGCAGTCAACACCCTCTATGACTGTCAAAGGAAACCACATTTACAATCCTCGATATGCTAAGTATTTATAGTCTGCCCTGCTCCACAAACAATTTCAGGCAACAAAGGGTTAGTAAGCTTGGTCAAATGGCCTCAAGGGCACTATCTACAATCCTCCTGTGCTTTTTTTGGCAATAAGTTGAGAGGCACATAGTAAGCAAGAGGGCTCTCTAGTCGCTCTCCTATTTCTTGATGGTACAGCCTGAAATCTGGAGGCTTCCTCATCTACAGCTGTGTGAAACTGAAGCCTGGCTCTAAAGGGTCTCTGTCTGGTCTTATTCTCTACATCTCTGGCAAGGGAGAGTATTAATATGTCAATCTTGGAGTTTGGAAAAGCTAAAACAGGGACAAAACAGGGCAAAAGCAAAGACTTCTTAGATGGGTATTCTCCCATTTTCCTTCCCAAGTTCTCTTCATGAGGTCTACAGTAGCAACTTTCAACTTTACACTTAAAAGCCATCCAAGGACCATGGGCCAGGAAACTTACTCACCAGTACTCACTGGTGGAGTTTGCCTAGCCTGTCTCTATAAAGCCCTGGGTTAAACTACCAGCAACACCTGAAAAATACAAGTACACAAAATCAGGAATGGCAGTGTACTCCTTTAATCTCAGCAGGAGGTAGAGGCAGTGGGAATCTCTGTGAGTACAAGGCCAGCCTGGGCTACAGAGTGGCTACATAGTGGGACCCTACTCCAAGACACCCCTTAGTGATTATTAAAATCATTATAATCAATTTACAACTACTACATAGCTTATTAAAAAATGAATCAGGGGACTGAAAAAATGGTTTGCTGGTTATGAGCAACTGCTAGTCAATCATGAGGACCAGAGTTCAGATCCCAGCACCCACAGGAGGCAGCTCACAAACGCCACCGGATCTAATGCCCTCTTCTGGCCTCCATAGGCACTTGCACATACACTTATACAGTCAGATATCAAGGGCTCCAGGAGGATAACATGATTCAAGGACAGCCCGAGCTACACAGTGGCCCACTACCTCAAACAAACAAGTAAGAATCAGTAGCTCGGTGTAGAGGACACCAGGCCGCAGCTTCAACATCCTCCCAACCACACAAAATAAAGCTAAAAATTGGTGAGTGGCCTTTGGCACGTGGTTTATTTGTCCCCTAAAGCAATTCTTTAGCACCTCCCCTATATAAAATCCTCAATAAAATAATTTGAACCTCTCCAAAAAGGAGTCACAAACATTCCTTTTTTCTTTTCTGTGTTACTGAGAATTGAGCTAGGCCTAGTACACACCTCAGTGTTGTTCAATAGCTGCATCCCTGGTGTCTTCTGACTTTATCCTTTTTTTTTTTTTTTAAGAATTTATTTTTATTTTTATTATATGTGTGCTGGTGTTTTGCCTGCATGTATGTCTGTGTGAGGCTGTCAGATCTTGGACTTACGGACAATTGTGAGCTGCCACAATTGGTGCTGTGTGCTGAGAAATGAACCACACAATTGGTGGGGGTGCTGACAATTGAAGCTAGGTCCTCTGAAAGAGCAGTCAGTGCTCTTAACTGCTGAGACATCTCTCCAGGCCCGACTTTCTCCTTTTAAAACAGGGTCTCACTAAGTTGCATTTCATACAGGCTATACTTGAACTTGTGATCCTACAGCCTCAGCCTTCCCTCAACCAGCTGGGATTACAGGCCTGTACTACTCAACCCAGGTATCTTCTGTGTGAAGAAGAAAAACAGGAGAAAAAAAAAAAGGGAGGATGCAACATACATTTGAACATTGTATGTGTGTTGGTGGGGATAGAACCCAGGTCCTTACACATACTTGGCAAGTGCTCTGCCACTAAGCCACATTACCCAGCCCTGAGCAAACACTGTGTAAGAACCTCACAGATGTCAGAGTTTGCAAAAAGCAAAAATAAGACAATGAAGTGAAGGACCCACCTGCAATGGTAGAGATCTGGCTCACTGGGATGGTGGCTGCCTTCTGCAAGTCCATCTTTATCTTCTTGGCCTACCAAAAGAAAATGGTGACATGTTGGAGGGTGTGGTAAAAAGCTGAGCACATGCCATGCCCTTAGGATGAGGGAAATGACATAGCAAATGCATTCTTTAGTACATCAGGCTATGGGGCACATCACCAGAATTTTTGCCACCCATCTCTCCCCCACTACCTGACTGTCCTTGCTGCTGGTCAGGCCCTCAAAAGCCAACACACACTTGGCAGAAGCATCCTGAAGTTGCTGGTACCACTGCAGCGTACTATCTTGTACCTTTACCTGAAGGTCTAAGAATAAAGACAGGCCTTAATGCAAGTGAGCTCATTTAACATGCCGCACGAGCTGGGACGGCTCTAGGCAATGCACTGTGGATGGCTGCTGAAGTGTCAAATCACACTATGGAGCAGGCACTAATACTCTCTCCATTTAAACAAACAGCTATGAAAAGGTTGTGTGTCAAGGCCACACTGCTTTCTGGTTCAAACACATTGCTATGCTGATCCTCAAACATGTTAAACAAGGACATTTACCCATATTACTTAAAATACTTAGCAGTGGGGCTGGAGAGAGTATGGTTCAGCAGATACATTTAATAAAATCCTTTAACATCTTTTTTTAAAAGAGCAGTTGCTACTCTTGTAAAAGACCAGAGCTATTTGGCTCCCAGCAACCACACGGTGGCTCACAACTCCCTTCAACTTCAATTCCAGGGGACCCAGTGCTCTCTTCTGGCCTCTGTGAGCACCAGTTACACATGTAGTATACATATATACATGTAGGCAAAACACTCGTACACATAAAACAAAATAAATAAATCCTTAAAAAATTCTTTTATAATAAAATACTCAGGCCAGGCATGACGGCGCATGCCTTTAATTCCAGCACGCAGGAGGCAGAGACAGGAGGCAATCTCTCTGATTCCAAGGCCAGCCTGGTCACAAAGTGAATTCTGTAACAGAGAAACCCTATCTACAAAAACCTAAATAAACAAAATACTAGGCAGTAGTGATACTTGTAATAACACACTTAGCAGATGTAGACAGAGTTTTCAAGGCCCCATGGAAATGGTAGAATTTGAAATTCATTCTAGATCAACTAAAACTGAACATAACACATTATGTAAATGTTTCTGTTGAACTGGGCCATCCTGTACTGTGACACATTGACATTTGTTTTAATACCCTAACCCATAGTTAAAGGACTGCACCCACACCAAAACTCACCTTCATTCTGTGTCCCTGCTGGGCCTGGGCTGTGCACAGGGGGCTGGGTGGGAGCTCCTGGCCCTTGCTGCACCTGTGGTTCCTGCAGCTTCACCCGGGCCTCCTCTTCATCTTGCTTCTTCTTGACTTCAGAGGCTCTGATGATCTCCTGCTCCAAATTTGAAAGGAGGTCCCGCATTTCCTGCAGGGCTCTCTCAGCCTCAGCTAGGTTCTCTGCTGTGGGATAACCACTCTGTCAGAATGAGAGACAACACTTAACATTCATTTCCTAGTTATACCTTGTGGGGCTAGCTCATATACACAGTACATTTCTGAAGTTGAACTGCTGGACCAGCATGTATACATGGTCAAATGTTGATATCTACTATTTCTCTGTTCTCTTAAATATTTACTATCAAAGAGCTGGGAGTAGTGGCTCATACCTGCAATCCTAGCACCTGAGAGACAGAGGCAGGAAGAAGATTGCTGCAACTCTGAGACCAGCCAGGGCTACACAGTGAGACTCTGTTTCAAAACAAACAAACAAACAAGCATAAATAAATAAATGCCATTGAGATAGCTCAGCAGGTAAAGGCACTTGCTTAGCAACCCTTACTGACAAACTGAATTTGATACCTGGAACCCAGAAAGGGAGAAGAAAACTTTCCCCATAAAATTGTCCTCTGATTTCCAGACATGTGCACACACAAACACACATAAAATAACAATAACAAAAGGTTTATCATCATCACATCCACAGCAACCAACCATGAAGTTTTTGATGCTTTCATCAACACCTATCAGAGCATATACCGGTAGTCCTAGCACTCAAAAGGCTGATGTAGGAGCAATGCCTATGTTCCAAGCCACGTTGAGCTATACAGCAGACCCTGTAACAGAAGCAAGGCTAGAGAAATGGCTCAGCAGTTAGGAACACTTGCTGCTATGCACAGAACCTGAGTTTGGTTCCTAGCACTCATGTCAGTGTCTCATAACCACCTGTAACTACAGGTCTATTCTAGCTTCTGTGGAAACCCACACGATATACATACATGAGCACAGACACATATGTATACACAGAAATAATAGCTAAAAGAACAAAGAAAGAGGGGGTTGTGACAGTATGCTAGTTAAACATGCAGGTTTTAGTTAGGTGTTGGTGCAGGTCTGCAACCTAGCACTAACAAAGCTGATGGTGGAGCATTGAGAGTTTGAGGCCAGCCTGGGCTACAATGCCTCAGTAACAAAGAAACAACGTTGTAATTTGTAAAACTTCTATTAGTGGTCACTCATTCTTAAGTGATTGAAAGTCTTACTTTACCTTTTGTTTTTGGTAGAATTTGTGTGTGTGTTTCTACATAGGCGCAGCTATAAAAGTCAAACAGCCCCTGCAAGTTGGCTCTTTCCTGCCACCTTGTGAGGATAGGAACTCAGGGTCACTAGGCCCAGGAACAAGGCCTCTAACTGCTGGGCATCTGGCAATTCCTATTTCAGCTTTTAAAGACACCTGTGCAGCCCTTAGCTCATTTTCTCTTGTAGGAGAAAAGTAGAAAGTGAAAGCAGTTTATCCTTTTGCATAAATTTCAAGAGCATTCTTTGAATCAAGGACATTAAATTTTAGTGTATGTGACAAGTATTTCCTAATTCGTAATATCTTAAAATTTTATTGGGATGGACATTGGAAGTAGGAGAAAACAAGAAACAGGACAGGAGCCTACCAGAAAAGACTCTACCTAGTAGTGTATCAAAGCAGATGCTGAGACTCATAACCAAACCTTGGGCAGAGTCCCTGGAAAGAAGGGGGAGCTAGTAAGACCTGGAGAGGACAGGAGCTCCACAAAGACCAAATGTATCTGGGCACAGGGGTCTTTTCTGAGACTGATTCTCCAACTAAGGATCATGCATGTATATAACCTAGAACCCCTGCCCAAATGTAGCCCATGGCAGCTCAGTGTTCAAGTGGGTTTCTCTAGTAAGGGGAACAGGGACCGTCTTTGACGTGAACTCAGTGGCTGGCTCGTTGACCTCCCCCCACCCCCGCCTGAGGGAAGAGCAGCCTTGCAATGCCCACAGATGATGATGTTGCAGTCAGTCCTGATGAGATCTGATAAGCTAGGGTCAGATGGAAGGGGAGGAGGACCTCCCCTATCAGTGGACTTAGAGGGGGGCATAGGAGGAGATGAGGGAGGGTGGAATTGGGAGGGAATGAGGAAGGGGGCTACAGCTGGGATACAAAGTAAATAAATGGTAATTAATATGAAAATAAATTAAAAAAATTTTACATGCTCAAATAAATAATTTTCCTTTATAACTTCCACAATAATGTTATTGTGCATATGGTCATTCAAATACTCCTTTTTTTTTTTTTTCCCATTCTACTTAGTGTTTGTCTCTCGCTTTATATTTAAATATAAAACATAGAATAAGATAATTTAATCTTTATTTTTATGTATTTCTATCTCTTCTTTGCTAGGTTTTCATTTTGTTACCAGAACTTGATAACCAAGCTAGGCAAATGATTTACCAGTAAGCTATGTCACCAGCTCTTTACCCCACTGAGCAAATAATGACTGATATTTCTGCTAGTAGCCCGGCATTACTTTATTTATTTTTATCTTTTTTGTTTGTTTGTTTGTTGTTTCGAGAGGGTTTCTCTGTGTAGCCCTGGCTGTCCTGGAACTCACTCTGCAGATCAGGCCACCCTGTCTCCCAAGTGCTAGGATTAATGGTGTGTGCCACCACTACCTACCAAAACACATTTTGACTTTAAGCAGTTTGGTTTCTAACCTGAAGCAGTTTTCTGTAATCACTTACCTCCAAGGTGGTGCGAATGATTCCAGAGATGAGACCACACAGCTGGTTGCCCCGGGTCTGGAAGGCAGCCAGGTCAACATTCAGCAGGTCCTTGTGCTGATTGGAGGCATCCAGCTGCTGGTTGAGCTGCAGGACCTCCTCTTGCAGGGTGTATAGGTTGCGCAGGCGGACCTGGCCTTCTTCCTTCCGAAGCTGCTCCTGTTCTGCCTGCTTCACACGCTGCTGCTCTGCCTCTCGAAGCTTCAGGTTGAGAATCTACTGAAAGGACCACTGAGTCACGAGGTGGGGGGGCTTTCCCCTTCTACACTGCTTGAATCCTAAGTGAACTACATCTTTTCACAGGTAGGCTCATAGCAGGAAACATACTCCCCAGGGCCAATGTACAGGTTAATTGCAATTTTCAGCTTGACTGGCTTGAAAAGAACCTATAAGAGTAGGAAATCACACGTCTACTAGTTTCTGAGGACACTTTTAGGGAGGATAAACAAAGGGGAGGGCCTGCTTGAATGTGTGTGATATCACTCCACAGGCTGAGCCCTGAGCAAGAGAAGGAGAAAGGGGCAACCCAGAGAGCAGAGGCTCTCCAAGCCAGCTGGAACCAGTAGCTGAAACAACCCCCTTTCCTTTGTTTTCTCAGACATTTGGTCCCAAGAATGAAGAAGTAACTACAGCAGCCACTACCCAGGAGCATGGTCATGGACCAGGGTCTCCAGAATAACTATCTGTTGATGCCGACGAACACTCAGAGGGAGACAGACACCAGTATAATCACACCGACTGTCCCAGGCACTGACCTTGGCTCTGTGACGATGCTCAGCTTTCAGCTTCTCCTGATGGCCCAGGGCTTCTCTGGTACTGTTAAACAAGGCAGGGTCAGGGATGCTTCCTGAGACTGTTTTCCCTCTCCCTCACTGTCACATTAGGCCTCCTCCAAGGCTGGAAGCTTCTTTGTCTATGTGATGTCGATATTTCATATTTAAGGACTGAGTTCCAGCCCTTTTACATTGGTGTTTCTCTGGGAAAGCCATCAAGCTGACCACACAGACATTCACAGCAGCCACTCAGTAAGACTCACCTCTTCTCCATCACTTCCTGTAAGTCCTGGAATTCCTTATGCAGCTTCAGCTCCTTCAGCTCGTCAAACCTCTTTAGCTGTTCAGATGCCATCTCTGAGAGGGCTCGCACCTTCCTCTCCTGCTCTTCCTGCCACTGCCTCAGGCCTTCCTGAAAAGGATAAGCACCAGGTGCTTTTGGGGTGCCATAGCCGCCTGGCCCATGTGCTCCTGACCACAGTCCTTAGAACATGAAAGACTCCACAGCATGGAGTCTTGCTTCTTAAGAGCATTGCAGAAGCACTTGTCCTTGAAAAGAGTTTTTCTTTCTTTTTTTGAAACAGGAGTGCTGGTCTCAAACTTGTTCTGTAGCTAAGGGTGACCTTAAATTTCTACCTGCCTCCATCTCCTGACCTGGTATTATGGGCATCGGCCAAGGTTTATACACTTTCAAGGATTCTACCAATTGAGCTTATTTCCAGCCCTGTGTGTGTATGTGTGTGTAGAGGTAATAGTGGTGTGCGTATTGTGTTGTGTGTATATAACTAAAGTATAGAGGTATGTGTGCGCATTGGCACACATGTAGAGACCAGACCAAGATGTCTTCCTCTATCACTCTCTAATTGCCTTGACATGTGGTCCTGCACGGAACTAGAAGTTCACCATTTAGTTAAAAGTGGCTGGCCAGTCAGCTTCCAGGATCAGCCCATCGCTCTCCTAATGCTGGCATCACAGGCATATACAGTCAGGTCCAGCTTTCTGTATGGGTGCTGGGGATCTGAAGTCAAGCTTGCAGAGCTCTCTGTGCTCTTACATAAAAGAGCCAACCTCCCCTAGGCTCCTAGCCATTTTTTAAGGTCTTAATTGGTTATATTTTCAGTTATAGACTCGGGCAAAACTTAATTTTATAAGTCAGAAGTATTCCCAAAGTCAAATTCATTAAAATAGTGCTGCTCTTCCAGAGGCTAAAATAGAGCTCTCATGGTATAAACATATCTGACGCATGGGGACCACCTGCAGCTTTGGGAGATACAGACGGAATACAGGAAAACTTAAGTAATTTCCCCAAAGTTACACTAGAATAGCCAGAAAGTGAAAGCAGACCTAACTTGAGAGTGTTCACTGTTGACGTTTTGCCACACTACCTCACAGAGTGAGTGCTCAGTGGGTGGGAACTCATGCCTAACACAAAGTATTCCCCATCAACTTCCAAGTGAATGGTGGCTCTTTAGTGTCAGACCTTCCTGGATACACGGTCCCACTTACAGTTCCTCTCATTCTGTGCACCAATTCATACATTCGGATGCAGCCTTCCACTCTGTTCGCTCGGGAGGACTGAAGTGCAATAGGTTCTGTGGACTGGGACTCATGAGTACTCTAAACAGAAGATGAAAAATAAACAAAGATCATGACTTTGCTAGCTTTCTGTCACTGTAGTTTTCTAGGTGTTCTCCTAGAAAATTATCCAAAAAAAAAAAAAAAAAAAAAAAGATTTATTTTGGCTCCCAGTTTAGAGGTTTCTATACACGGAGTCTTGACTCACTTGTTGCTTGTTTCTGGGCTGTGCTAAGGCAGAACATGACAGTAGAAACACGTAGTAGAGATAAGCAGCCACCTTAAGTTGGCTGAAAAGGCAGGAGAGAGGAGAGGGCCAGGTATTAGACTTAGCTGACCAGGCCCCATTTCCTTCAACTTGGTGCTACCTCCTATGTGTCCACCCCTGAATAACTATGATTACAATGCCATTGATAATGATCCATTCACTTCCCAAAGGCCTCAGTGTTGAATGATGCTGCATTGGAGGCAAAGCTCAACACAAAATCCTTTGAGGGAGCTGAGGTCCAAATCCTAACACATACAACTTAGGAACCAATAATGAACTTATAAACCACCAATAATGAAAAAATTTAGGTTAATGTCAGAATTCAGTCCAAGAATGGAGTCGTACATGGAGTACTTGTAAGAAAACTCTAAGGAAAAAAAGTCTTGTAACCTCAGTTTCTTCAAAACACAGAATTGTTCTAGAAATGTGCTTTCATGCTCTTCCTATGTGTAGAGAACAGAAATGAGTTTTCTTAATCCTCAGAGTATAAATTGTCTGATGCTGTGAATAAAGTTAGCTATTACATAAGCCTTTGTTTGGTCCATTTATTTTTGCTCTCCCAGGTTCACCCCACATCTAGACCATGAAACAAAAAAAACTGAGTTTTTCTTTTTTCATTAAGTTTTATTTATTTATTTTATGTATATGAATGCTCTACCTGCATGTACACTGGCATTCTAGAACAGGGCATCAGATTCCAGTATAGATGGTTGTGAGCTAACATGTGGTTGCTAGGAATTGAACTCAGGATCTCTGGAAGAGCAGACAGTGCTCTTAACCACTGAGCCATCTCTCCAGCCCAAAACTGACTTTTTTATGACATCAACTTTGTTCATCACTTTCCCCCTCTCCATTCCTGGCCCTAAATGATTTACATTTGCTCTTTCCCAAAAGGCAAAGTAGCACAATACTTTCCTTTTTAAGACAATCTCACTATGTAACCCTGGTCTACATAGAATTTGTTGAGTGACCTTGAACTCACAGGGATTCACCTGCCTCTGCCTTCCATGTGCTGCAAATTAAAGTTGTACACCATCACACCTGGTGTTATACTGGCTTTCTTTAGTAAAATGTTTCTTCTTGGGCTGAGGAAATAGCTTAGTGGGTAAAGTATAAGCAGGAAGGCCTAAGATTCAATCCCCACAATCCATATAAAGGTGGCATGGTGGTTATGTACTCATAATTCCAGCACTGGGGAAAAGCAGACAGGAGGATTTCTGAGACTACTGGCCAGCCAGTCAATCCTAATTGATGAGCTCCTGGCCCACGAGAGAAACACAAACCTTGTTTGTTTGTTTGTTTGTTTGTTTTCTCAAAAAACAAGGTGAAGGCATTTGAGAATTGATACCCAAAGTTGACTTCTGGCCTCCACAGACATGTGTATACATGTACAAATGTATACAAACACACACAGTGAGTGATATAGTAAATACTGTCCCTACAAACAACTGCAGTGAGAAAAAAATCATTTGCCCAGGTCACTGTCATATGACTAAATACCTCAACTTTGCAGCCAACATGTTTTTGTTTTGTCTTAAGCAGTTAAACCTTACCTTGGTTCCATTTGGTGTTGATGGTGAGGGGGACTGTGGGGTGCTTCTGATAGGAGACTTAAGGAGTAAGGGTTGGTCCAGGCCTGAGGCAGAGCCAGAGGATGGTGAATTATCAGAGGAAGAAGCATTCTCTTGCCTGTCGGGTGAGCTGTTGGGCAGGATGTGATCTACCACCCATCCAGAGTAAGAAGACAGTTTGGGAGTAGACATGCATTCTTCCAAAACATCCTGAAGAGAAGAAGGTTAAGCCTTCGTGTGTGTCCACAGATAAGTCTAAGACATTACCTGTATTGCTCAACAGCTGAGGGGCCAAGCAAATAAGTTAGTGCTGAAATAAAGTAATTGCATTAACAATTAGAGATGAAAATATAGTAAGCCGGTAGTGATAGAACAAGCCTTTAATCCAGCACCCAGAGAGGCAGAGGCAGGCAGATCTCTGTGAATTCAAGCGATCCTGGTCTATAAAGCCAGTTCCAAGACAGCCAGGGCTACAGAGAAACCCCATCTGGAAAGCAACAACAACCACCCAACTTTCTTTTACTTACATACACACCTGCACTTAAGTTAACTGTCAAATAACTGCCGTACTGAACAGACTCCTATGTGAAGGCATGCCTCCCAGCTACTGGGATACCACCCTGCAGGGCCAGTGGTCTTTTCTTTCTTCCTTTTACTTTTGAAACAAGGTATCAAACTGAGGATGACCTTGAACTGATTGATCCTCCTGCTTCCACTTCTGAAGTGCTGTGATTAATTTTTTTTTAGATTTATTTTATGTACACAAGTACTCTATCTGCTTGTATGTATACATGTTACAAGAAGGCTTCAGATCATAGTATAGATGGTTGTGAGACATCATGTGGTTGCTGAGAATTGAACCAGGATCTCTGAAAGAGCAGCCAGTGCTGTTAAACACTGAGCCATTTCTCCAGCCCCAAAGTGCTGAAATTATAAGCCAAGGTAGCGGTTATGAGCCATTAGTGGTTTACTATTACTGCTGTTATTTTATTCATAGTATTTAAAAATTTATTATTACTAATAGTATGTGTGTCTACAGACTCATGTGCCTCAATACACATGTAGAGGTCAGAGGACAACTTTGTAGAGTCAATACTTGTAGCCACTTTTTTACCTAGGTTCTGGTAAAAGTCCTTAAGCTTAAGCAGGAACCGACTTTACCCACAGAGCCATCTCACCAGCCTAAGCAGTTTCTTGATAATGATGCAGACAATATTTCTAAAAAAAAAAAAAAGTCAATTAAAGTCAGGTGTGTTGGCAAGCGCCCATAATCTAACACTAGGGAAGCAGTGGCAGGAGGGTCAGGAGTTCAAGGCAAGCCTCAGCTACACAAGACTTTCAATCCCCTATTCCCAAAAGCACCGGTTCTCAACCCAAGGGTCTCACTCCCTCTGGGGTCATAAGCAAATATCCTGCATATCGGATATTACATTACAATTCCTAACAGTAGCAAAACTACAATTATGAAGTAGCAAAAAAAAAAAAAAAAAATTATGGCTGGGGGACCCACCATAACATGAGGAACTGTATTAAAGAGTCGAAACATTAGGAAGATTGAGAACCACTACCCCAAAGGAACAATGTGTAAACACACATTCGAGCAAATTTCTACAAATTATTGTTTGTGTGTGCAAAGGATGGTGGGGATGAGGTGCCTCGGTGCCAGGAGGCGGAGTCTGTTTAGTCAGTTCTCTCCCTCAGACTTTACATGGGTTCCAGGGCTAAACTCGGGTCTCTAAGCTCATGTGGCAAGTGTCTTTACTAGCTGAGCCATCTCACTGGCCCTCACTACGGCAAGCAGGAAAGCGATTGAAAATATCTAAGAGAATGCAGGCTGTGAGAAATGTTCAAGGAACGCCATGTACACCATCAATGCGCCATTAGTTTGCAAGGGTTCCTCACAGAGTGTGGTTATTCAAGCCTGGAATGAAAATCAATTCAGACACCCACAAGACAGGGGGCGGGCAAAGGCAGCCAACAAGCATTACAGGAGGGCTTTGCAAATACTAGTGACCACTAGTGGCATAGCGACCACGCCCCCACCACAGATCTGACAGTAATCTAAAACTATGGCCTTGACTTGCAGCACTAGAATTAGATGAAATTAACTGCTCTCTGAGAAACGTGGAGCTCCCCGCACGGGCGTTCTTAACCTTCCTAATGCTGCATGTTGTGGTGACCACCGATCGGGAAATTATTCTGTTGCTATTTTATAACTGTAAGTTTGCTATTGTCATGAATCGTAATGCAAAATGTCTGTGTTTTCTCAAGGTCTTAGAGGACCGCCCAAGGGGTGGAGGCCCACAGGTTGAGAACCACTGTCTTAAGCGTGAGCTATAAAGCAGACGAAGAGGCTGAGAGCCCGGAGCTGCTGACAAGATGCAGCCGGGACTGGGGTGACGGTGCCGCTTTCGGACAGGAGTCTTCCCGCGAAGAGAGGCTGTCGATCAACTAGGAACGGCTGAAGAAAGTTGTGTGCACAGGAGTCAGAAAAGCAATGCGGCCCGTCGTCACGCCCGGACCTCCACACCGGCGTGGAGGGAGCGTGGAGAGCGCGTGACGGCGGCCGCTACTCACCTCGCAGCGCAGCAGCCAATCGCGGTGGTAGCGTAGGCGGCCTTTGCTGGAGTTGCGCAGCGCCCTCAGGGTTTCCCAGCAGCGACCATCCGACGGCATGGCGGGCCACCAGCTGCCACCACAGACAAAACAAACCCTCGAATCCGCCGCCGAGGAGGCGCCTGCTTCCGCTTCCGGGGTGCCCACCACATCCGGCGCAGCCACTCCCGTAACGGTCGCAGACACCGCTCGTCAGTGGCGCACCGCCCATTCGTTAGCGCCCGAGCCTGGTCAGATAGCTGGAGGAGCTGGATAGCGGAAGTGACGTCGTGCTCTAGCTACCACACGTAGGTGACTGTTTCTTTCCAAGTCACAAGTGCGCAGGTCTGGCATTGACGCTCCTCTACTTTTTGACAAGTCTGCTGCTCGAGTCTGAAACATCTGAAGTGCAAAAGTACCTAAAGAAGATTAAGTAGTTTTCCTGGAAAGATGGCTTCGTTTCCCACCACCCCCATGGCAGCTCACTACCGAAACTCCAGCTCCAGCGAATCCATTGCCCGCTTTATGGGCTCGTCTGACACCAAGCATGCACACCCAAACTTGCGTAGTTTTTTGTTACTGTTTTTTAGGTTTATAACATCTTGGGCTCCTAATATCTCACAAAGGTTAGTTCAAGAGTCCCAGGAATGATCCTGGTGTAGTATTGAACACCTTTAATTGCAGCACTTGGGAGGCAGAGGCAGGCGGATCTCTGAGTTTGAAACCAGCCTGGTCTATAGAGTGAGCCCAGGACAGCCAAGGCTACACAGAGAAACTGTCTTCGGGGGGGGGGGGGGATCCAGAGATGGACTCCCAAGTCACTTCAATCAAAACCCAGCTCAACCCTGTGGTGCAGAGGTGGTTACAACTAGTTTGGCAAAAGGAATTACACACACAAACACATGTTGGTCTAAGTTTGTCAACTGTTCTTTTTTAAGAAACTGTAAGAACCAGGGCATGGTGGCACATGCCTTTAATCTCAGCACGTGAGGCAGAGGCAGCGGGTGATCTGACTTGAAGGCCAAGTTGGTCTACTTGAGCTCCAGGCCATCCAAGAGCTACTTTGCTGTCCAAACACAAAAAAAGTGTATTTTGTTTTCAACGTGTGAGTACATGTGCACGTGTAGGTGCCTTCTAACACAAGAGCAATGTCCCAGGAGCTGGAAGGAGCTGCTGGTGGTTGTGAGCTCTTGCCAGATGTGCGGCTGGAACAGTATGCACTCTCAACTGGTTCTCTCCTTTGCCTCCCGGGTGGGTGCCCCACCTCCCACACCACAGCTTCTTCACCATTGAACTCTCTCCGGCCCCAATCTCTGAAGTTTTATTCATGGGTGGGAATGGCTCAGATGCTGTAGTCATTTGAATGACAATGGCCCCCACAGGTCCCCAGTTGGTGAAACTGGGAAGAATTAGGCATGGAGGTGTGTCATTGGTGGACGCTTGGGGGTTTCAAAGGACTCCCGCGATTCCTGGTGCTCCCAGTGTGGATCAAGACATGAGCTCTCTGTTGTGCGGTCCACAATGATGAACTCTGACCCTCTGAAGCAATAAGTTGCCTTGGTCATTGTGTTTTATTATAGGAAGGAAAAGCCCAGTGCCAGCTAGAAAAAAGTGATCTCTCTGAAGAAGGTGGTTTGCTTATGGTTGGTGATGGGGGAGGGGTGCTGTGGATTAACCCTAGGCCCTTGGAGCTAGAGAGATGGCCCAGCAGTTCAGAGTACCTGTTGTTCTTACTAAGAACCAGGGTTCAATTCCCAGCACTCATGGTGGTTCTCAAGCATCCACACCTCCAGTATAAGGGACTGATGCCCTCTTCTAACTTAAGAGAGCACCAGGAACATAGATGTTACACAGCACATACATACTTGAAGGCCACTCACACAAAAAATACATGGATCCAATTTAAAAATTAATGAAAAACGGGGCTGGAGAGATGGCTCAGCACTGGCTGTTCTTCCAGAGGACCTGGGTTCAATTCCTGGCACGTACATGGCAGCTCACAACTGTCTGTAACTCCAGTTCCAGAGGACCTGACTCCCTCACACAGACATACATGTGGGCCAAACACTAAATATACATAAAAATAATTTTAAAAAACTCGATGAAAAACAAAACCCTAGGTGCTTGCACATGTATATACTAATCAAGCGTTCTACACCACTCCATCTTTCAAATACAGAGAAATACAAAATGGCCCCCAAATCCTACCACACAAAGTAGGTAGCAACATAAAACTATAGGCACATCCCACGTCCTGCTGCTAGTTGTAAAGGCCTGACAAAGTGCTGCCATGGGTGCTTTATCTTATGAAATGACCAAAGGAGCAACAGCCCATCTGCTTTATGATGAAGTCGGAGGCATCAAGTACTCTCCAAATTCACACAAATTTTATCATTAAAAAGATGTTTTTATTCAGACATGGTCTCATGAAACCCAGGGTGGCCTCAATTATGTAGCTGTGGATAACACTGAAAGGCTCCTCCTGCTTCCTTCAAGTGATTGGACAACAGGTGTGTGCCACCACACTCTGCTTATCCTTTTTAAAATGAGGGGATGGAGGAGATCAAAGACGTTTTAAATAATCAATCATACAAACTTTATTTCCTGTAAACTCACACAAAAATTTCAAAAAAAAAAAAAAAAGAATTCCAAAGATACAAACAGAAATGTAAAGCAGTGAGATAGGAACTACGACTGTAAGGCCAGATGAACGTGAACTTCTGTCAAGTACCTGGGAACAAGCAGCCTCTAGAAACACAGGCACAGGAGGTCCCCACTGGCACTACAGAAAACACTGCTTCCTGCCCCGCTCATCAAGAAGGAAAGAAAAGCAGTGCTCGAATTGGCCGCACATCTACTAAAATTGGAACGATACAGAGAAGATTAGCATGGTCCCTGTGCAAGGATGACACCCAAGTTCCTGAAGGGTTCCGTATTTTTCTTGCCATTAAAAGGTGGTGAGTTAAAGTGGCAACAGCACCGTGAACAGGATACACTGTTAAAAGCACACTTGCAACTTTTAGGTTTGTGTTGAAACAATTCAGTGAATACACCTGCTGTAGCTGTGACTATGCCAGTTGCCATGTACTAAGGAATGCAAACAAGCTGCTCATTTGTAACTACAGACTCCAAGGGAGCATGACTCCATGAGCCCTGACTAAATGTTACATCTTTCTGCCTCCATAGTCTTTTTATGCTGATAAAAGCAGATTCACTCAGTTAGCAATTTACCTGATTTCACTATTTCTTGATAAGAATAGTTTTATATTTATTAAAAATAAAAATAAAAAAATAAACTTAAAAAAAAAAGGAAAGAGCAATGTTAGGCATTCACAGTCCAAGGAGGACTCCTGCTGCTTCCAGCTTAGAGAAAGCCAAAAGAGAAATGCTGAAAGGAGCCTGCCAGGGAAAGTCTGTCCAAACATCCCCTGAGGAAAGGAAGCAGACTCTGCAAAGTGACAGGGATTTAAAAATCTGGTACCTAATGTAACAAATATAAGGCTGTGAAGATCATTAAAAAATTACATCAGGTTCACAGATGAGGAATAAGAACTAGGTTCTTCCTAGTTCACCCCTGGCAGCTCTAGGGACTTTCCTGGCATAAATTGAGGAATAGACCCTGAGCACATTTGATCACTGGAAGAAAAAGCCAGTGGGCTTGCCAGCTATGGGTTGGCAACTCCTCAGTTCCCTGGCATCAGGCAAGGGCTTCATACCCTGGACAGGTGGCCTCAAGCAGGAGGAGACCGGGAGCGGATGGGTGAGCTCGTCAGGTAGGAGGATGTATAGGTGCCATCCCCAAACACGTTGGCATAGGAGGACTTGAGGAACTGGACATAATTCTGCATGCTGCGATTAGTGCTCTCAGACTGCTCCAGGCGGTCCTTCAAATCCTGTAGCCGGGTCTGGTATCTACGATCCGCCTGATAGTACAAACAGAGACCAAGAATAAGAAGGTGACAATGGGCAACCCGAAACACAGGCATTCATTTAGGCGCCAGCACTGGCAGAGGCACAGAGGGCCTGTGATTGAAATGGTTTTATCCCCCTTGGGCTTGTCAGGAAAGTTAACTGGGCTTTTTTGTGTTGTTTTATTTTACTTTTTTGCTGGGCTTGTTTGCTTGATTTGGGTTTTCTATTTGTTAGTTTTGTTTTGTTTTAGGGTTTTTTGTTTGTGTTTTCTCTGTGCAACCCTGGCTGTCCCAAAACTTGCTCTGTAGACTACAGGCTGGCCTTGAACTCAGATCTGACTGGCCCTGCCTCTGAGTGCTGAGATGAAAGGCATGCTCCATCACCTTTACTGTTGTGAGCCTCGGCCTCACCAAGCTGCCCAGACAACTCGGTAGGTGGCCTTGAATTAGCTGCAGTTTCCCTCACTTAGCCTCCTGGGGGCAGGAATGACAGCAACATGCACTGAGTCAACAGACTGGGCTGTGTTTGTTTTCATTTTATTATTTGACAAAGAGTCTCACTGCATATCCATGGAGCTTCAAGGAACCTGGTGCTTGCTTTTAGCCTCCACAGAGAAACACACACACACACAGCCTTTCAGAAAGTTATTTGATCTCTGTGAGTTCAAGGCCAGGTTGGTCTACAGAGTGAGTTGCAGGACAGCCAGGGCTCCACAGAGAAACCCTGTCTCCAAAAACAAAGTTATTTGGGAATTAAGCAAGGTATTGCTGGGTTATACTTTTATCCCCAAAACCTCCACCCTGATTCCAGTTTATAGGTTTACACTCCTATCATCGATTTATAAGGGCTAAAGGGCTGCTCTCCTCACACATCCTCAGAGCCATGTAAGCACCTGTAAGGACTGATGTAGCCAAGGCTGGCCTCAAATTTGCTCTGTAGCTGAGCATGATGTTGAATTTATGGTCCCTGTGAGGTCACAAGCATGCACCATCCTGCCTGTTTTGTTTTAATAACTGCAAATGGATTGAACCCAGGGCTTCAAACATGCAAAGCAAGTACTCTGTTCAACTGAGGTTTATCCTCAGCTACTTTCCCTTAAACATTTCACCATATGGGTTCTGAGGATCAAACTCAGCGTGTCAGGCTTGGTGACGAGTGCTTTACCTCACTTCACTTCAACATAAAAACTATTAAGCTGGGCGTGGAAGCACACACCATTAATCCTGGTAACACAAGAGGCAGACCAAGGCAGATCTCTGTGAGTTTGAGGCCATCCTGGTCTACAGACAAGATAAGACAAGGCTACATAGTGAGACCCTATTTTTTTTTTTATTTTTTAAAAAACTTTTATAGCTGGGCAGTGATGGTGCACGCCTTTAATCCCACTGCTTGGGAGACAGAGGCAGGTGGATCTCTGTGAGTTCAAGGCTAGCCTGGTCTACAAAGTGAGTCCCAAGATGGCCAGGGCTTATACAGAGAAACTGTCTCGAACACAAAACAAAACAGCTTTATTATTATTATATTGAGGTAGTTCCTTCTGTTACAAGTTTCCATGGGACCTTTACCATGAAGGGATGCTGAAGATCTTCTCTGAATTAACAGGTTCATGTGACTCATCTTTATGGTTATCTGTGTGCTGTTACAGCCACTGATCTGCATGTGCTGAACTAACCACACGCCTGCAATCACACTAACTTGGCCATAGGCTATGATCAACTGTGTTCTAAACCTCTACTTCTAAGAATTTGGGGCCTTCTGCATCGATGTGCATCAACGAAACTGGTTTATAGTTGTCTTTTTTCATTGTGTCCTTACTTCTTGTATCAAGATAATGATGGCTTCGTAGTATATTTTGATTTTATATCCTGTTACTTTGCTGTAAGTGCCTTCCAATTCAAAGGATTTTCTTGTAATCTACTTTATAAACAGGTTGAGAAAAGATATTAGCTCTTGTTTGTTTGGTGCACACCTTTAATAATAGCACCAGGGAGAAAAAGGCAGGTCTATCTCTGTGAGTTCAGGCCAGCCTGGTTTAAACACAGAGTTCCAGCACATGTACGGTAACATACAGGGATTCTGTCTCGTAAATAAACAAAAACAAACAACTTTGGTAGAATGAATCTATCTGACCTTTTCTTTGTTGGGAGACTTGACTGCCAATTTTGAGATAGGTCTTACTATGTAGCCCTGGCTGCCCCCAAACTCACGATGTTGACCTGGGCGGCCTTGGATTCAAAGATTTGTCTGCCTCTGCCTCCCTCCTCAATCCAGGTACTGGATTGAAGGCGTATGACACCAGACTTCTTGGCAGAGGTCTTCAATAGCAGAGGCCACAGGCTAGCCAAGGGTAAAGTAGAACTTCTGATTCTACCTCTTCTTTTCTGTTTGTTATTTATTTTCATTTTAATGTGTATGTTTTGTCTGCATGTGTTTCAGTGTTTCCCACGTGTGTGCCTGGTGCCCTGGGATTCACAAGAAGGCATCAAATATCCTGGAACTAGACGGACAGTTATGAGCTACCATATGGACACTGGAAATGGAACTGCAAGAGCAGACAGCACTCTTACAGCTGAGCCATCTTCTCTGGGCCCTGATTCCACTGTTTCCAAGTAGGATATTATCCAGCTCTCAAATGCTAGAAATTACAGGTGTGTACCACCGGGCCCAGTATATGCAGTGGGACTTGAAACTTTGTCATTGTAGGCAAGCAACCTACCAACTGAGCTATGACCCCCAGACTCAGAGTTGGATGTTAAAATCACCCTGTTATCCCATCAGGACCCATCTGAACTGTGCTATCTGGTCTTATGAAATCAGGAACCCCAACATTAGGCACATATATCACTTTTACATTTTTTGTTTTGTTTTTCGAGACAGGGTTTTTCTGTGTAGCCACGGCTGTCCTGGAATTCACCCTGTAGAAGAGGTTGGCCTCAAATTCACAGATCTGGCTCTGCCTCTGCTTCCCAAGAGTACTGTTGGATTAAAAGCAGGCACCACCAAACTGTTTGTTATATCTTCTTGCTTAATTATTCTCATTATTAATCTACAGTGACTTTGAATCTCCTCTAATTTTGAAGTTTACTTCTCAAGACATCACAATACCTACACCAGCTTGTTTTGGGCTCCCAATGGCATAGCAGATAAGTTACCATCCTTTTTACATCTGTCTGAGTCTACCAGTGAGGTCTGTTTCTTGGACATATATTGTTAGGTCTTAGCTTTTTACCCAAGTCAGTCTTGTCTCATGGGTCAGCTGAGGCTAGCTATATTTAAGGCTATTATTTACTAAGTCCTGTAGTTTTGTTAGTTGTTTTACTTATCTTCTGTTTTTTGCAGTTTTCTCTATCAGTAATAAAGGTTTGCTTACTGTGTCAGGGAAGATGCCACATTCCTTCCTAATCCTCTTGTGAAATTTATTCCCACCCTGTGCTCTTCTGATTGAGACTTTCTTCCCTATGTATAGTCTTTAATTATCTTCTGCAGTAAATGGAAATTATGAACTCTCTTAATATATATTTATCTTGAGGTTTCCTTGTACTTCAGACCATTTTAAGAGATAGCTTTGATGACCACAATTATTTACTTGATTGGCAATTATTTACTTTGAAGGTTTGAAATGCATTATATTCCATACTAACCTGGCTTTTGGGTAGCTGAGAGATCTGGTGTTAGTTTTACAGCATTTGCCTTTGTGAGATAGTGCTTTTTCCCTTAGGGTGGCATATACAGATAAATGCAGTGTTTGAGTGGCCAGAAGTGTTGCATCCCCTGGAGTTGGAGTCAATTTAAGCCACCAGATATGGGGGCTCCACAGCAGACTCAGGTCCTCTATAATCCTAACCTTGGAGCATCTCTCCAGCCCCACTCATTAGCTGTCAATCTTTCATCTTTTGCTTTGACATACTGACTTTAACATTTCTTTAGAGGTTTTTCTGGGTCCTACGCATTTGTGGCTGTAAATACCTCATGTTTGAGTGTTGATCTCTTTGTTTTAATATGTGTGAATAATGCTCATTGATCATGGA